AAAAAAAGTTATAAAAGTGATAAAAGTAATTTATCCAGAACAATTTTTACTCATGCATTGGACTAACTAACTTTCAGAGTTATATATAATCAAGATTTAACTATATTTCTAATCGAAAGGAATGAACTCGAAACTAGATAGTAGTTTAACTGATTTCTACAAAAGTTAGGATATTTTCAATATTTTAAATTTTGTTAGTTGTGGTTAAACCCATTTGGTATCAATTTATTATTTACACGTACTATCTACAGGTAAGAGCTTTTTCAGGTAATTTATTAAAAAAAATACACACAAAAAGCACGGAATTTTTTGTGTGCTAATCCATGCGAACTATCCTGCAGCTGAATTCCGGGCATACAATTCATCGAAAAGAAAGAAATTTATACATAATAGGTATATGCATAAATTGAAACTTCTGCCCGGATTTCAGCTGCTGGAGTGCAAATTTTCGACAATATGGCTAAATCACCAAGGCACGGGTCTTCCTTGTAAAGAATGTACAAATCTGACCATAAAATCAATATTCATCATTCAAGATTCCATCTGATTCCATTAGCTGGAAAACTTTTGAATACTTCCTGATCAACCTACAACCTACCAAATATCCAGTGAACTTTACTAATTAAATCATCGACTGTATGGAGATCTTTTGAATATTTTCTGTTGTCTAGAAAGGATATCTGAACGAATATTCTGTAACTCATGCAACGTTTACTGAACATCTACAAAACTTAAGTTTTACAAAATTTCCTCAACTTCTACGAAGTTCCCTGAATTTATTCCAAATTCCATATTTTTTTCCATCTCTCTTAATTTAACAAGGATCTCTGAACATCTTTGCACTTTTGGAAAGACAGCTAAGACATCCACAAATATTCTTGAACAATTAATTAATTTAGCTTTATTTAGGAGGCTTTCAGCCTTAGGCTGGTTCGCCTCCAAAAATTCTTGAACACCTATAAAGTCCTTGAAATTTAGTGAAGTTCCCAAAACCTCCAAGAAGTTCATGGAGCTTTTTTGGAGTAAGATCTCTGAAAAAACTGCAACGAAGTTCCCTAAACTGAAGCGAAAATAACTCAAGTTCTTAGAAGAGTATTGAACTATTTTTAGATCTTTTAATAAATTCCCTGATTTTTTTCAAAATTCCTTACAATTATAAGCAGCTACGAAATTCGAAAAACTTCTACAAAGTTTGCTGCACTTCTACGTTTCTTGCTGATTTTCCGCGAATATGAACGAAATTTCTTGAATTTTCACGTAATTTCTACAACTATTTTAAGTCTATGTGGGAGTGTGTTCAATCACTTCAAAAATCGTCTTGTCATAATCAAGTCAACTTATATTGGGTTCCTGGTCATTGCGGGATTGAGGGAAATGAGAGAGCTGATGCACTAGCAAGACTCGGATCTTCTCATAAGTTCATCGGGCCAGAGCCCTTTTCTGGCTTATCGGCTGCTTCTCTTAGAATGGAGCTGAAAGCGTGGGAATCTTCAGAAGTGGAGGAAACTGGAAGAACACTTCTATTGCTAGGCAGTCGAAGCGATTCATTAATCCAAACATTTCTGTGACCCACAAAATCCTGGAACTTTCTAAGAAAGATCTTAGTATATATGCAGGTCTTACAACAGGTCATTGTCCGAGCCGTTATCACTTGAAGCTGATTGGAAAACTTCAAGATGTTGTATGTCGCTTCTGTGGCATAGAAAAGGAAGACTCGGAACATTTGCTATGCCACTGTCCGGCAATTTTCAATAAAAGGCGTAAATTCTTCGAGAAGGGGCTGATTGAACCCTTTGACATTTGGAGAACAACTCCCAGTACAGCAGTGCACTTTATTCGAAGTATAATGCCATGCTGGGATAATGCTATTAGTCAAGCGATGGCGATCACTCCTAATAATAGTGATACGGCATCTTGATATAGCTTATAAAAGAAAAAAATGGGGAATATATCACAATGGATCAGAAAAATGGTCACAGTGATGGAAATACCTGACACAAAAAAAGTCTATGAGGCTTAAAAAACCTTAAATTATGTAAAGGTTCCTGATCAATACTGAGCTTCTCTAAAATAAAATAATGTTCCTTTAACTTCTAAGAAGCTCCTCAAATTTAAATTAATTATGTACTTCTACGCAGTTTTCAGAACTTTTCCAAGTTTCTTCCTTCCTTCCTTCCTTCCTACGATTTTTTTTTCTGAGGGTGTATGAAGTTCACAAAATTTCTACCAGGTTTAATTAATTTCTACGATCTTCCCTGAACTTCTATTTGAAGTTCTACTAAGTACCCACAAGTCAAAGAAAAATTCCTGGGCTCATGACCAATTTGTAGAGCCTGAAGACGTATTATTGCCATCGATTTGATATAATATAATTTCTCAAAATTGTTTCATCTAGTCCAAAACATAACAAAAGTAATCAACATAAAGGACTTTAAAAAAATCTTTGTTTATGGTCCAATTTTATTAATCACTGTTAAATAGTAGCATCGTACTTAACAAGCTTGACAAAATACCGGTGAGTCAAAAGAAACACCAACAATTCTGGAGGGGGCCTCCTGGCACCCCCATTTGCTACGCCAATTTTGATAGGGTCGCATCGCCTACCAGGCATCAAAAGATCGCAAGTCTTATTCGCGTCAATATCGGAACTAAATTCACTATATCAAAACTACGGTCGCATCACTTATCAAGGTGAATCCAGATCCAACGAACCTAACCTACTAACAAAATCTCCCTCCTGTAACCTTTGTGCGGACGCACAGGTAAGCACGGTCCTCAAAACAACAAAGGCTATTCTAATAACTTTATTTGTCGGATGCTTCACACTCAGCTTTGATTTACTACCAAAATGTCGGTGGTATGAACTCCAGTGCCAAGGAATTCCTGCTAGCCAGTTCGGACGTTGTTGTATTGACAGAGGCATGACTCGATGGACGCACCATTAGCATTATAAGCTCTTCAGCTGATCATTATCAGGTCTTCCGTTGCGACCGAAATGCAACCAACAGCCGCATCCCACTCCAAACTCAAAATAAGAATGATCGAGAACGCTCTGTAGGATTGCATCGAACAGATCTGGATTAATGTAAAACTCCTTTCATTTATTTAACGTTGGTCTCTGTTCCTCAATCTAATGCCAATCACCGACGGACATCGATTGCCATCCATTGACGGCAATCGAATGTGCAGGAAGGTAACCTTCATACCTGCATAGGATATCGCACACAGCGAATGAGAACGAACCCAAATTTGAGTTTAGTTATTTTATAAATCACAAAGTGCAGGAACTCAGTGATGTGTCAATTTGCCTCATGTTTTTCTAGATTTTTCCACGTTTGTCCAGGAAAAACTTCCCAAATATGAGAAAAGAAGAGATTGGATTCTCTCAGTCTATTGGCACTACTCCTAGACTGAGTAAAATTTTCGTCAAATTTCCTCATTTTCCGGCAGATTTTTAAGGTTATTCCACAGGAAACCATGAGGAAAATTTACTCATCGCTGCGCTGTTCCTGCAGTTTTGGCGATTATGAGTGAACTAAACTCAAATGTGGGTCGTTATCATTCGCCGTGCAGTCGGCTATGACCGTTCTCGAAAAAAAAAACTTCTGCAGTTGATGAAGTGATTATTCTTGGAGATTACATTACTGATGGCCCATAGCACCACTGAACCGCAGGACACTTGATTGAGTTGGTGAGTAAACATTCACACCCAACGCCAAGCAGGGAGAGCATTCCAACCTTCTTTGTTTGGGCATCGTGAACAACTTTGCTGAGAAATGGAGACGCATCATCCCCCATCAAACGGTTTGGCCTACCCGCCATCAATCACAGCGAGCAGGAAAACAACTAAACAACGGTAATTGAATCATGATCAGAGTCAACGATTTTCGGTTTATTTTTGGTTGACTCGTAATTACATACCGCTTTATTGTAAGTGGAAGAAGGGAAGTTCATCTTCTAGCCGAGTGACTATTACCACACCATGTTCGGGGTCGTCGTCGTCGTCGTCGTCATCATCATCATCATCAGAAGTTATAGATAGAAGAACAGGGATCTATTCACCAGTAACTGAAGCTGTCGAAGCTCATAGAACAAGGAGGGGGAAGCTATCGCTGTGCTGTAAATTTGATTATCACGTACCTACCCACCTACAAAGCACACGCAACATCAGACTGATGGAGGACGAGGAAGGCTGTCAAGCTAGAAAATGCTGTATAGTGACGACGGATGTCGATGGTAAAGCAGCAGGAGGAGCTGTGTGCGCTGATGGTTGTTTAATACGGTGGCGGTTTGTTTTTGGATAAGCAGCATATCGGCTTTAGGCCTTTTAATAGCCTCTTGTTTGCTCTTTTGGAACGTGTTTTGCTCCATTTTCCAGCGATGTATATGGAGGAACTTGAGATTATGTATCGACTTGGGTGGGGAAAGTGTCGAACAGCAATTAGGTGACGATGTTATTTGAGTCATTCGTGTAAATTATGTAAATCGTTGACAGTGAGCAAGACAGAGCTGATCCTTCAAAAATAAAGCTTGCTCTTTTATCAGATGTAATCTGCCCCATTAGGATCGTTTCTCCGTCCGTTACAGCAAACCGTATTTTTAGATCAAACACTGCAGATCCACATTTTACGTTGACCGAAATTGAAAGTATGCAAATTGACCTTCTACCCTGGAGACCGGGTTAGCCAGCAGCGTTTAACCCGGGTAATACTCTTTCCTCCTCCCGTCCCTGAATGAATACACATACGAACCAAACCAGAACGACACTCCTGGAGAAAGCGAAAAAGGATGAAAAGCAAACATTATTATTATAACGCTCGGCCGGGGACCCACTCTCAACTTTTATCTCTTCATACACAGTCAGTAGTCTGAGTGCCCATTGCCGTTGTCGTCGTCCTCGTCGTCCGGCATAAATGGAGCTCAAATATGCTAATGCTTCTATTTGTTTTCCATTCTCTCCACTTCCATGACAATACAATATTCAACTCGATGAAAACCAGGCTCCAAGTCCCGCCATGTCGCGGATGGGATGGGCCCTGCGGACGCTCCTAGTATCGGACAATACCAGCTGCCTCAAGGATCGGAAGGTAAGTTTCCTGTTACCTTATAACCGTGAGAAGAAAAAAGAACCAGGCATGAAAATCCAAATTTATTGCCGGATTTGATTACGAAAAGCTCCTTTCGGAAAGGGGATTTTGCAGCAACCGTACTGGTTAAAGTAATGGTGAAATTCAATTTAGAACGATACGGATGGAAGGTGAAAAATTCAATGTTAAATATTCATAACGGAATAAAAATTGAGAAGGGAAAAAGGAAGACGGAAATATTGGAGACAGGTAAAATAAGAAATGGGAACAGTAAGAAATAGTAAATAATATAAAAAGGGAAGTTGAAGATAAGAAAACAAAATTACCAAAAAACATATACGAATCATAACGGAGCCTTGCACATATTAGAAATGAAAAAAAAACCCAATAATAAAGTGTAACACTAGAAAAAGATTTAATAAGACAATAGTGTCCAATTGTCCAATTGTCCAATTGTCCAACTGTCCAATTGTCCAATTGTCGAAATTATCCAATTGTAAATTGTCCACTTATAAACTGTCAAATTGAGCAATTGTCAAGTTGTCCCATTTTCAAATCATCGAATTGCGCAATTCACTAATTAATGAATTTCCCAATTGATCAATTGTTCAGTGACAAATGAACCTATGAACCAGTTGACCAACTGAATATTGTAAATTGACGAATTGAAAATTGACCACACAACCAATTAGCCAATTGACAATTGACCAAATGTGCAGTTGTCCAATTATTCAATAGTCCAACCAATTGTACAATTCACTAATTATGCAATAGACTTATTGTCCAATTGACCAATTGACCAATTGACCAATCGACCAATTGACAAATTTTCAAAATGACCAGATAATCAGATAACTATTTGCCCAAATACCCAATTGCCAAATGGATCAATTGAAAAATTAACAAACTATGAATTTAAAATCGACCAATTGTTTAACTGTCAAACTGAGGGGACGACCCCGAGGTTTGGTTAACATCTATACCTCTCACGCCATAGTCACGAGTTCAACTCTCACCCCCGGACAAGTTTTCAAGTGACTGCCCTATTGATTAATTGACCAATTTACATACAGTCCAATTGACCAAGTGACCAATAAACCAGTTGACCAATTCACCTACTGAAATTTATAAATTGGCAACATTACCAACTGAAGACTAACGAATTGACCAATCGACCAATTGCTTAGTTGATTCGTTACCAAACTGATCGATTGCTCAACTGACTAATTGACCTAACGACCTATTAAAAATTGACCAAATGTATAATTGCCCAACTGAAAATTAACAAATTGATCATCAATTGACCAATTTCCCTAATGCTCAAATACCCAATGCCCAAACGATCCTAATGGACCAATTGACCAAGTAACCAATTGGATATATTTCTTTAGGATTTCCAAAGATTTAAGTAAACTAAATGAGAAAAATCTATACAACTCTTTAATAAGGAAAATCCCAAAGGCTTTGTAGCCATGAACCAATTGAAAATTGACCAATTGGAAATTGACAAATTCAAAATCAACCAATTGAAAATTCAGCAATTGAACATTTACCAATTGAAAATATACCAATTTAAAATAAACCAATATAAAATTTACCAATTGAAAGCTAACCATTAGAAAATTGACCGATTGAAAATTGACCAATTGAAAATTGACCAATTGAAAATCGACCAATTGAAAATTGACCAATTGAAAACTGACCGATTGAAAATTGACCAAATTGACCAATTGAAAATTGACTAATTTAAAATTGACCAATTGAAAATTAACCAATTGAAAATTGACCAATTGAAAATTGACCAATTGAAAATTGACCAATTGAAAATTGACCAATTGATAACTGACCAATTGAAAATTGACCAATTGAAAATTAACCAATTCAAAATTGACCAATTAAAGATTGACCAATTGAAAATTGACCAATTGAAAATTGACCAAATGAAAATTGACCAATTGAAAACTGACCAATTGAAAATTGACTAATTGAAAATTGACCAATTGAAAATTGACCAATCGAAAATTGACCAATTGATAATTGACCAATTGATAATTGACCACTTGAAAATTGACCAATTGAAAATTGACCTACTGAAAATTGACCAATTGAAAATTGACCAATGGAAAACTGACCAATTGAAAATTGACCAATTGAAAATTGACCAATTGAAAATTGACCACTTGAAAATTGACCAATTGAAAATTGACCAATTCAAAATTGACCAATTAAAGATTGACCAATTGAAAATTGACCAATTGATAATTGATCAATTGAAAATTGACCAATTGAAAATTGACCAATTAAAAATTGACCAATTGAAAATTAACCAATTGCAAATTGACCAATTGAAAATTGACCAATTGAAAATTGACCAATTGAAAATTGACCAATTGAAAATTGACCAATTGAAGATTGACCAATTGAAGATTGACCGTTTGAAAATTGACCAATTGAAAATTGTCAAATTGAAAATTGAACAATTGAAAATCGACCAATTGATAACTGACCAATTGAAAATTGACCAATTGAAAATATACCGATTGATAATTGACCATTCGAAAATTGACCAATTTAAACTTGACCAATTGAAAACTGACCAATTGAAAATTGACTAATTGAAAATTGATCAATTGAAAATTGACCAATAGAAAACTGGCCAACTGAAAATTGACCAATTGAAAATTCACTAATTGAAAATTGACCAATTGCAAATTGACCAATTGAAAATTGACCAATTGAAGATTGACCAATTGAAGATTGACCGATTGAAAATTAACCAATTGAAAATTGTCAAATTGAAAATTGACCAATTGAAAATTGACCAACTGAAAATTGACCAATTGACCAATTGAAAATTGACTAATTGAAGATTGACGAATTGAAGATTGACCGATTGAAAATTTACCGATTAAAAATTGACCGATTGAAAATCGACCAATTGAAAATTGACAAATTTAAAATTCCCAATTAAATAATGACCAATTGGAAATTGACCAATTGAAACTTGACCAATTGAAAACTGACCAATTGAAAATTGACCAATTGAAAATTAACCAATTGAAAATTGTCCAATTGAAAATTGAACAATTGAAAATCGACCAATTGAAAATTAGCCAATTGAAAATTAGCCAATTGAAAATAAGCCAATTGAAAATTAGCCAATTGAAAATTATCCAATTGAAAATTGATCAATTTGAAATTAACCATTTGAAAATTGACCGATTGAAAATCGACCAATTGAAAATCGACCAATTGAAAATCGATCAATTGAAAATTGACCAATTGAAAATTGACCGATTTAAAATTTACCAAGTAAAAAATGACTAATTGAAAATTGACCAACATGTATTGACCAATTGAAAATCAACCAATTGAAAATTTTCGAATTGAAAATTGAACAATTAAAAATCGACCAATTGAAAATTGACCGATTGAAAATCGACCATTCGAAAATTTACCAATTTAAACTTGACCAATTGAAAACTGACCCATTGAAAATTTACCAATTGAAAATTGACCAATTGAAAATTGACCAATTAAAAATTGACCAATTGAAAATTGACCAATTGAAAATTGACCAATTGAAAATTGACCAATTGAAAATCGACCAATTGAAAATTGACCAATTGAAAATTGACCTATTGAAAAATGGCCATTCGAAAATTTACCAATTGAAAATTGACCAATTGAAAATTGACCAATTGAAAATTGACCAATTGAAAATTGACCAATTGAAAATTGACCAATTGAAAATTGACCAATTGAAAATTGACCAATTGAAAATTGACCAATTGAAAATTGACCAATTGAAAATTGACCAATTGAAAATTGACCAATTGAAAATTGACCAATTGAAAATTGACCAATTGAAAATTGACCAATTGAAAATTGACCAATTGAAAATTGACCAATTGAAAATTGACCAATTGAAAATCGACCAATTGAAAATTGACCAATTGAAAATTGACCAATTGAAAATTGACCAATTGAAAATTGACCAATTGAAAATTGACCAATTGAAAATTGACCAATTGAAAATTGACCAATCGAAAATTGACCAATTGAAAATTGACCAATTGAAAATTGACCAATTGAAAACTGACCAATTGAAAATTGACCAATTGAAAATTGACCAATTGAAAATTGACCAATTGAAAATTGACCAATTGAAAATTGACCAATTGAAAATTGACCAATTGAAAATTGACCAATTGAAAATAGACCAATTGAAAATTGACCAATTGAAAATTGACCAATTGAAAATTGACCAATTGAAAATTGACCAATTGAAAATTGACCAATTGAAAATTAGCCAATTGAAAATTGTAGAGATGAACTAGCTTATTGCTAAAAATCTCTTAAATGAAGATAAAAAAAAATTAAAATTTATCAATTTGAAATTAACCATTTGAAAATTGACCAACTGAAAATTGACTAATTGAAAATCGATCAATTGAAAATTGACCATTTGAAAATTGACCAATTGAAAATTGACCAATTGAAAATTGACCAATTGAAAATTGACCATTTGAAAATTAACCAATTTAAAATTGACCAATTGAATATTGACCAATGGAAAATTTACCAATTGAAAATTTACCAAGTGAAAATTTACTAGTTTAAAATAGACCAATCGTAAACTGACATACATAAATGTTCTGATTTTGGTGACACACAATTTTCTACTTTTCACCTTTTCAAAATCATATCAGTCGTCTGGTCACATCCAAAGTTACAGAACTATCCGTAAAACCTTTGTGAAATATTCACAATCAAATTAAAGTTGACAGCATCGTGTTGCTAATATTGAATCCACCCTGTATTCATAATAACCAATTGACAAGACAATAAAATTGATTTTTTTAACCTGAGAATTCAATGTCTCATGTTTAATAATATTTAATGCAAAAACTCCATTTAATTTCCCTCCAAAACGACTTCCAGGAAAAATAATCATTCCTGTTCTTAATTTCAATTAAATCCTTGATTTATGTTTTCCTCCACAGGTGGGCGGCAAGTTTATTCGCAAGTGCGCCCCCGGTACGGAGCTGGTCGACTGGCTGCAGAATCTGTCCCCCATCGTGCACACCCGAACGCAAGCGGCCGGCATGTGGCAAGCCCTGATGGAGGAAGGCGTCCTCAGTCATGGTAATTTATATTATTGTAGCTCTGTTCTGAATATTCATAACTTTCGCGCTAGCGTAGCGACAACAAAGACCTACCTACCTGAGTGCGTTCTTACTCCCCTTGAGTTATGCAATAAACGAGCACGAGATGAAAGATGGGAATGTTCCATGCATTTAGTTTGGATTTTACTCTAAATAATTACCATTATTGTATTCTTCTTTATCCTTGAAAAAATCAGTGGCAAAAGAGCAACCCTTCAAGGACAAGTGCTTTCTGTATCGGTTCAAAGTGGACGAAGACGGCACGGCTGGTGGGTCACCTTCCTCCGACGATGTCAGCCAAGCGAACGACCACATTCGAGAAGCCTTACCCGGACTGCTGCACCGAGGTCCGGACGCAACGCTTAGGATGATTCTTCGAAAACCGTAAGTACAATACGGTGCCATAAAATCGTGTTCGAAGCAAGGTTGCAAATGCTCATTTCCCCTTAGATACATGATTCTAAAGATGTTATGAACATATGTTTTACTTGTTAGGTACATGGAGTGGTTGCAAAATATGTGTTTGACATATAGAACCTTTCAATGTTGTTTTCTAAGAGTCCCACGGTCCATGAGGATTGCAAAGAAAATGGGACAGTTATGCGTATAATGGCAGTGAGTGAGTAAAAATTGATAAAATCGCTGATTACGACTCTCATGAAGTGAAACTGACAGGCTTTATGTATCAAACACATTCAAATAAGATCATAACATTCAATGATTTCATAATCCGTAAAAAATATGCTTTTATCTGAAATGAGTATTGCAACCTCGGATCGAAAGATTCCATTCCAAAGGAATTAATTGAAGTCATTACAAATTTAGTGCACATAAAATCATTCCTAGCGTTGGTTGGATGGATGGCCGTCCATCAGCTGCTGCAAGAGAGCAAAATTTCCCAGAAATTAAGTATTCGTACAACTCATTAAAACTTACGGCTCTCGTCCCACCCCTTTCTATATTGTCCTGTCATTGGCGTTAGAACACTCACTGCAATGCAAACCAAACTGATCCCTTCGTAAAACTGCGTGCAGAGAGGTGTCCACAATTCAATCTGCCTCATTTGAATCTCTTATTTCCTATTCAGCAAAGTACCTACTTAAAAGTTTGAAAATCAAAACCATGAAATGAGATTCATGATCCCGGGAAAAAAATCTGAATATCAAAACTATAAATCACATCTGGAAAAAAAAAGTAAATTGTAAAAATCCAAGTGGGAGAAAATGAGTTAACAACGTACATGAGAAAAATATGTCCATTAAGGACTACACACATGATTGAAAAGAACCAAACAAAGAGCTAAATAAACCAAAACGTAAGAAATTTAAATAAATCAAATTGAGAAAATACAAAAGAAAAAAAGAACAGCAAGCAAAAAAATAGCAAACAGAAATCTACGATTAGAATAACAATGATATTTTCAACACCCCTAAACATCCCTTCCAAGCATAAACTATCCAAGTATTTCGCAACTCCTCAACCCCCATGATTCAACCTTACTATCATTACTGCAATAAACGTTCCACAACAACTTTCTTCTCTTCCTATCCCCCCATCCCTGCAATCACCAACCAAGTGCCTTCCCCCCCAAACCACGGAGAACTTGACAGAAGGACCGGAAAACCCAGTCTTTTACGAGGTCATCGTTTTTGTCGGTGACATAATTTTTATTACTTTCCTCCGAGAACCCACAAAGATCTTCATTCTCCATTTTTCCCGTTTTTCCCAGCCAGCTGCTGGATAGAAATGCTTTATGTTTCAATTATTACGCCCTCAACTCCCTTGAAACGAGGACTTTCCACCGCAGTTATCAGTGGGAACCGAGATAACGACACCACTCCCCCATAATTTTCCGCTGCGGGTGCAATTTTCCCAGCTCTTGTTGGTGGTGACGTATGTTTCGTCGAGTCCTATTTATCGGCGTCAACTACCAACACCGTGACAATAAGGAGCTCCGAAGATTAATGATAGTGCGGTTTACCACTGCCATTGCATTTGCGGGCGGCAACAATTTGTTGTTGTTCGTGGGGTGCTTGAGTGTTAACAAGTTTTAAAATTTATTAACCATTTGGAACGACCGTTGGCGAAATCTTCGCTGTGGAACTCATAAATTATTCATTAGACCCAGACAGTTGATAGTAATTCACGGTGCCATTTTCAGGGTGTGGGTCTACATTTGCACTGGGGAAAGTTTCGCAAACATAGTTCCTCTCGCTAGGATGCCTTTTCTGGATGATTCGTTAAGTTTTCGTTTCGCTTTGTCAGCATAGTTGTCGGTAAATAACCGTTCCTCAAACTCTAATGGAAACGGAATGACGCTGCTTTCGTGGAAACTAATTGCAAAGAAAAGCAGAAGCTCGCGAAATTACTTGCTGTTTGCTAACTGAAAAGTTTGAGTTTGAGCTTCGGAAACACGTTTCTCGTGGGGGAGTTTATTGCCCAATGCTGCTGGTTGGCCTTACGGCTCAAATCGGTAATCAAAGTGGCTATTTATTTGAAAATCTGATGGAAAAGGGAAGTTTGCGTTCGGATGGGAATGTTTTGCTAAGTTTCGAAGCGATTTGAAATTAAAGTGGTGGATGAAAACACAATTAAAATGCGAAGCACCACTTTGATTGTCGCAGGATTTGGCAGATGAAAAGTTAGGATATTTTAATGAATTGAATTTTGATCGCATTTTTAAAACGAAAGTCAAACGAGGATAAGTTAAATACCACGTTTTAAATTTGAATGCATTTGGATGTGATCCAAATTTGCAAGAAAATATTAATTAATTAAAACTACATCAAACCAGGGGGTGTAAGATTTGCTTAAAATTACGAGGGATACATCATCGCAGGATGTTAGTGGAGACCGCATGAACGGAGGATGAGATATACCGAGCTGCGGTCCAATTCAATGACTGAAAAAATGTGGAGTGTAAGGCTTGTACTCGATAAAAATGCACCATTTTTTCCGTGTGTAACTTTTTTTATCCGTGGATAAAAATTGATGAAAATCTGGGTATAACTAGTTTGAAGTGAATTGTTTACATGTGCAAAATTTCATAACAATCGGTTCAGTGGTTATTGAGATGTCATCGAAACAAGAAGAAAATCGCCGGAGAATTTTACGCGCCGTCATGGAAAATCCGACTGCGACCATGAGATGGAGCGGAAGATAACTGGGAATCACCCATACAACTGTGTCTCGGGTGGTAAAATCGTTTAAGGAGTCCCAAACGACCGAGCGGCGGGCTGGAAGTGGAAGAAAATCGAAGACAGCTGACCCTGTGAAGGCCCGGAAGGTGTTGGATTATTTCAAGCGTAATCCGAACCTTTCGATTCGCGACGCGGCTCTGAAGGCAAACTGTTCCGCCTGGTTCGTTCAGCAAACCATGAAACGAGCTGGGCTTAGTGTATTCAAGGTCCGGAAGGCACCGAACTGGCGTGAAAATTACCGCACCGAGTGCCTTCAGAAGCGTCTGTTGCCACGGTCCCACGGAGGCGAGAAATTATTTTGGCCGGACATGGCATCATGCCATTACGCACGATCGACGTTGGATTGGTACAGAGACAATAACGTTGCTTTTGTACCAAAAACCGCCAACCCCCCAAATTCACCAGAGATTCGTCCGGTGGAAAGATTTTGGGCCATAATGAAGAACAAAGTTCGAAAATCGTTCAAGGTGTTTAAGAACGAGCTGGAGTTGAAAAAAGAATGGATGAAAGTGACCAAAAAGGTTGGCTCCACCGTTGCACAAAATGTAATGAGGGGTCTTAAGGGAAAGGTTTGGGCTTTCAGCGATGGAAAGGAAATTGAATAAAGTAATTATGCCGAAACATAATCCATATGTATTAGTTCATTCCCTGAAAGTTTCAAGAAAATCCGACTTAAAATAAATTTTTGGCGAACACTTTTGTCTGGTGTATTTTTTTTCGAGTACAGGCCTTATAAGCGAGAGAAATTAAATATGATGAAAAAAAGGGTGCCGACTGGACTCGAACCACGAGAACGTTGCGATTTATCGAACCTGTGCTTTCTCCACTACTCTCTCCATGCTTCGGAACATGTATAGGCTAAAAGCGAATAATTTTTTGGTTTGTGAGTATGGACTTTGATCAAGCATATCAGCATAATTGCATATCAGTCCCATCCCGAAATTCAATCGTCCACAGATAAAGTTACAGTTCTGCTTTCTATATTTTTCACTGATATAAAAAAAATCAATGCAACTGATTTAAACTTGAAAAAAAAAATAGATTCGCTATGATTTTTCTAATATTTGCATAGGACTTGCACTGCACTTCATAACATCGACTGCCATTTTCTCAATGCCTAATGCCTTTTACTGATATGTGATTAAAGGCAGTACCTATAGTCCATTCAGAAAATGTGTTGAAGCTTAAGATTTTTAAGATTTCTCTCCAATACCTCATCATCATTTCGAAAGGTGTAACATTAGTAAGCCCACGATGGGGTCACTTTTTATATTACGGTCCTTCAGAAAGTGTGTTGCGTTAGAGAGCAGGGAATCCGTTAGACTGGAACTACACGGAAACAAATCCGATTCCATTTTCATGAATAAAAAATCATGTAATGAAAAAACTTGCCATCCCATGAAATCGTAACAATGATTAATGATTTCGTCATGGAAATTCATGATTTCATAATGCAGTGGAATAAAGCCTGTTACAAGCGTTACACGTACTTGAAAAACCGTGTTCATAAACCACACTACATTGGTATCTCTTCCCAAGTAAGAATTCTGGTTTTATGAGGGTTCTGTATACCATAATTTAGACTTGTAGAATGCTATAAAAACCTCTATAAAACTTGCAATGTAACTTGGGTTATACGCCTTTTGCCTTCCATCTTATACAAGTACTGATAGTCTAGTGGTCAAAGTATGGGTTTAATGATCCCAAGGTTCTTGGTTCGAATCCAGTCTGATGCTTGCTTTATTTTATTCTATTTTTGCATTTTTTAGTTAAAAGTTAAACCCATGAATTTAGCTCATGATTTCAACTCGGATGATTCATGATTTTGGGAATGTTTGCTGCGTTACGCAAAAGTTGCTCATGATATCATGAAAATTATTCGTGGTGTATTTTCGTAACATGAAAATACGCTGTGTTCATGAAATCATGAGTCATTTTTCTCATTTCGGAGATCGGATTTTTTCCCGTGTAGGGTTGCTTAACCGGTTTTAACGGTGGTATCGTACTATTCTGCAAACCGAAATACCGGGTTTTACTAAAAAGCGATAATTTATGCGATTTTTAAATCTAATGTTTGATGTTGAATACAGTAAACTCTCTCTAACTCGATGGAGTACCATTCTAAAGGGTGTCCCACATCAAATTGCATCAGGGAAAAAAGCTGTAGAAAATTACTAAGTTGAC